CTGACTAATTCCCACTGTATATCCCGTGTAAATTAGGTGTCTGGTGATTGTGCTTGAGAACATTTTGTTGCCTTTCAGTCGCAGACTTTTAGGGATATACTTGGAGAATCTAGTAGATGTTCTCTTTTCAGTCCTTCCTATGTACTTGCTGCCACAGGTGCAGGTGAATTGTTAAATGCAGTTGGAGTTGACATGACCAGGACACATATCAAAGTTTGACTGAATTGACGAACACACCACATTGTTAAGTGGAGTAAGTCTAGCGGCGTGAAATGTTCTTTTCAATGCACGCTTAATCCTTTTTTTTTGGTTCATGTGGATGCTTCTTCTCCTTTGTACGCTAGCGAAATCTGAAATCGATACCCCTCGTGTCAAATTATACGATAAATCAATACTCTTTTAATGCTGAATAATTCGTCTATTTACATCATTTATGGAATTATGTTGCTTATATTTGCCATCCATAAGTCGAAATCACTGTCAAGAAGTATATTCGAAAGTTTTGTAACTTATAATCTGAATTTGTTTAGGATATGTGCGGTCGAAGAGAAACTATGAAATCAAACGAGCTCGTATTATCCCGCAAATATGTTCGCTTTCCTCTATTCAAATGCCCGAATAACTGATGCATATATATTTTCTTCAACAATACGCTGAGAGGTGTCGTCGAATAAAAGGTGGCAAATTAATACGAAATTTACTTCATTCCGATTAATAGGCGAATAGATTAAGTCGCAGAATTTAATCATATCCTTTAGCTGGATATTATTGGTTGGATTTTATAGGGAAAGGTTGGAAAGTACACCAGAAACTAAATATAAGGTATTGTAAGATAAGAGGAGAGAGAATACAAGGAAGCGTATGCTACTGTTAATATATATATCTGAAAAATAAAACAGTCCTATCGAGAAGTAAAACAACCTAAGAAAATTATTGATCTGATGCATTGATTGGTATTATATTTAATTAAGTGTTATCCAACTACATTTCTGAATGATTCATCGGTGGCTCGATGTCAGAATTCTCACCAGCCACGCATAAGGACCTCCCCTAGCCGGTATTACATCTGGAAATTTGGTTTGTCAAGTTGCCAAGTCCCTCCAATAAAAACCACACCACAGCTACTGGAACTCCAAAGCTTGAAGCCCGATCTTCTACTCGGAAATTAGTGAATGAATGAAAAACACTTTGAAGACCGGCGTATAAATAAACAGGAAAATTCGATGTATAGCAATTGTGAATAAAAAGTGGGACGTTTTCTTCTATTAACAGGATTTTAGCTAGCATCCAGTGAAGTGAAACTCATATCTAGTCAATAATTCCATAGGGTGTCACGTTATAATTCTTATTCAGATCTTGCCATAACCTTAGTATTCCTTAGAATTTAATATTCACTTCAATTTGTAGAATGATATCTATCAAAGAAATTCATGGAGTAGTTAAATTAAAAATACATATTATTTAAAAGTTGGTTTTGTAGAGATAGATAGGTTCCGATTGAGAATCTGAATCGGCTAGAGTACCGTTGATGACCAAAAAGGATTCATTAACTGTTTCATCCCAGCATGAAAATCTTCATCAGCTTTTACCATTATTCCGTAAGGAACTTCAGTATATAAAACCTACTAGAATCTGGTTCTTGATCAGCAGATGAATTCATCAACCAGTTTAATTATCTGCATAACTGCACTGACCGTATTGAGTGAGAGGGCAACACAATTTCCATGCGATTAAAGAAACGGTGCATCACTAGACAATGTCGCTTATAGTGCTGATAAAAGATTGTTGGATATCACGGGAATAAATGAGATCTGTGTTTGGATTCAACCCTTCTCGATTGCGTGAGTGGGCATTGTCAAAATGTCCTAAACTGTCACGGAAAACCTATTTATTGCTCTTTTATTTCCAATGAATTTTAGCTGGTATCACCTTGTTCCATTGTGACAACTTGAACTGATACACCTTTATGCAAAGTTCGGCGTTGATGAGTTAATCCGTCAACTTTTGAAAGGAAAGCTATCGTTCATATAATTGGTATACTGTTAGAAGAGAGTGACGTTGAATAAATGAAGTGACAGGAGTTGAAAAGTGTGAACCATTGAATTGCGATTCATTGTGAAGCACTGGCTTTTACTGTTATAATCCTGATATTTGTAGCAGCTGTTATAAAAAATATTTAGCTGTGATCCGGGTTTAGGTGCACTGAAAGTGGATGATACCTGATGGTTAATTAAACTTCCATGTGTGGGTTCGCTTACTGATGTTTTCGATAGAATAGCTATGGAGTGTTTCACTGTGTGATGTAGGTAGATGTCAAACTAGGCGATTTATGTTTGTTGCAATCCTACATCAGGGGAAGAGCATAGGTTGAGGCCAGGCACTCCGTTTCTCAATTGTCTTACTGTTTGATATAGTAAAAATGACCTTTGACAACTACTTGAAATCAGAGTTGATAGCTCAAATATATGAGCAGTGGGTAACAGTAACTTGACCCTTCAAATCTCAGGTGTATCACATATTGTGATAGCAAGAGAAATAATTGGTAATGAAAGCTACTACGTCTCAACACTGACGAATCGTTCGTAAGGAAGCGTAAACGATCTTTGCACTCCAAAATAAATTAGGATTAAGTAACTCTAGTAAATTAATTATTCATATTCTGATTGATTTGAATAGAATCTTTCTGTAAGAAGATGCATAATAGCCTTGTAAAGTGTCACTGCTGGGTGTTTCTCACCATTACATCATTCGTTACTAAGCAAGTTTCATCCGTCATGAATTAAAGTAACAGTTGTTTACTTGGACTGATCATACTTATCAGCATTTCCCAGATTCAACTACTTTGTTGTCGAGTACAACATATCTGAGTGGTTAAACAACGCGGGACTTTACAGAAAAATGGGTCATCTCAAATTCCTATTGATTATCCTATATCTTAATCTCACCTCCTTTAACGTTTGTCGATATACGTAACACGTGTCTCAACCAACTAAACCCACGGAGCTTGACGGTCACAAGAGTTGACTTCCTACTCACAAAAGCCATGTCACATAGTCGTCATTAAGGGGTACAGAATACACTACTGCACAGTAGACATCCTTCCACAAATAGCTAGATACCACATCTGTACTAAAGACGACTGAAGTTGGCAGATGACAAAGAAATCTTTAGTACCCGTGCTGAAATTTTTGCCAGTAGCTAGTCCATGATAGCTTACGCAACTTCCAGAATAAGTAATGTGGTCAACCAATTCAGCTATCCTAAAATTAGGAGTTGGCACAGATCAATCCCGTATAATAAGACTACATTTGATAGAGGTGAATTGCATGCCTAGCATGCTCAAATTATTGTCCACTTCGGTCAGACGATTTTGCATTTTCGCTACCTTAAATGGCAATGTCACTTGCATACTTTAAATCAACGAGAATCCACCGTGGTAACAGGCCAATCTCTTAGATGTAGAATTCGAGCAGGTCACCTCCATCATTATATCTATAGTACGACTGAACAAAATTGCTGAAATTAGGCATCCATGACGAACTGGTTGCCTTCACTTCACATGCAAACTCTCTATAAGCTCATATACAACTGCATGAATCCTAGTACAGTACCTGTTTCAGTAGCATATACTTCGTCTGTACTACCGTCAAGTTGAAGAATGTGGCGAGAGAAGAACATGGTGAACAGTATTCACAAGTACCAGTCGAAGTGCCTAGATATGATCTGAGAGTGAGGCCTCTCTGGTTTTCTGCACAACTAAGCATGAAGAAAATATTTCTTCGTATCTACTAAAAGACAGCAGTCATATACAATACTGTAGACGAGTTATCCTTCATCAGTGGTATTGTGGGCTCCTTAGACGTCAGGTTTTACTATAAATTGCTTAGAGAATACTCGATAATAGCATAGCCAACAGATTCCACATCGTACTCTTCTAATAGTAGCAAATAACTGAGTGATTTTAATCCGTAAATGTAAACATACATACAAAAAGTAATCTATATATGCTTGCGTTTGTACAGCTAAGAAAATGAATCCACCAAAAACAGACTCTTCGCTGAACTATACGTGTTTTGTTTTCATTGTATTGTATTATAATACTCAAACATAAAGATTTTTACAAAAATAATCCCAGTAAGTTTACATAGAACAGTTTCAGCAATATTAAACTGTAAAGCAGTAATCCAATGTCCACTGGTTTCTTTTCTAAAACACATCTAATAAATAAATTATTAACACCAGCTTTCCGAAAACAAAATAGATTTTTTATTACAATAAAACTGTTTTAGTTAGTAATAAAAATGAGTTTTCTGTCTAATGAATTACATAATTTTAACTTTTATATAAATCTAAGGGGTGAATAAAGTATATGAAAATACTAAAAGAACACAGAATAAAATGGAAAGTTTGGTTTCTACCAAAAAATATACAAAGGAATCACTACAAAATTTCAAGTTTCAGAAAAACAGCAGATTGAAAAATCACACTTTTATTAACAAAGAGGATCGTTTATGAGTATCATTGACTTTATTAATGATAGAAAGATTGAAGATATTTTGTTTTAAAATTACAATGGCTGATTTTTCCAGTCATTTCTGCTAACTTCAAAACCTTTTATAAATAGTCCTTGAACACTGAATGTAAACTTTTGACTAGACTTTGGTTGTTATTACATAAGTATTTTGATGTTAGAAAACTGCAGAGATTTAGGGGTTAGTATCTGTTTCCAAAGAATTAGAATGCCTTCAATTAATTTTGGAGAAACTTCAAGATTTTCTCTCAGAAAAGCATGATATTTTACAGGAAAATAATAATTTGAGTTCAGTATTACTGTATTAGGTGTCATTTTACCAGATGTTTATCAGTTTGATTGATTAGTATTACGCGTTTTTGAAAGTCTAAGGAACGGATAGAACTGATTCAAAACTCGAATTTAAAAAGAAACTTATCCTTTCAGAAGCTAGTTATTTCTGTTAAAATTGATGCCATGATATGCAAGGTTATTTAAAAGTTGGAGAGATTAAACTATAGGATGATTGTTTATTTTGACAAGAGATGCGTGTACTTTGCTTGGTAGGCATTTTAAGATTTAATGGTATCATTTCATCGTGTTGGTCAAAGGAAGTTTGAGCGAGTTCACCACCAGTACTGATGTAGTCATTGTTCTTTATACTTGGTAAAAATAAAACAGATTTTAAGGGAATATACACTAAGATATTTGTACATAATATAATTGAGATACAATGATAGCAATCCATCAGTAGCAAATAAAATATAATCAGAGATAGTATAATGCTAACTTCACTAACTCAGTAGGACTTTGAAACAAATGTATTATATACATCTAATTTTGCCGCATTTTGTAGGCTTAAATAACTGACTGCTGTGGCAAACAATTTTATAGTATATGATTGGATAAACTTTGAAGGTCGACCTTGTATAACCAATCAGATTAGATATTCGGTGGTATATATATATATCTGTCTTCTGATATTTTTCGTGGGCTCAGGGAGCTCATATGAGTGAGGAATAACAGCCTTCTGTTCAGTCTTCAGTCCAGTTACCTATTAAATTTCCGTATCGAATCCAAACTGTCGCTTTATTATTGTTGTTATTGTTGTTAACCATGTCGGAATGATTTTACGGAGTGACTTGTGTTAACACATTCAGTGTTTGAGATATAACATAGTATTGTGACGTTCAAAAATACTATAACAATAGTATGGTTTTGTTTTTGATAATCTGTACACTTACAATGGTAGATGGATATGTAAATTTAAAGAATTACAAATTATAAACTGAATCCATGTATCTCACTGTTCGCGATTTAAGCGCAAATTGACATAGAAGCTGAAAAACGCATTAAATGTAGTTTAACTCGAGACATTTCACAATAATACTTAAAGAGAATGGCTAAAGAGGTTGAAATTTATGGGTTTTCAGATTCTATTCCTGTCGGTGAAAAGTCAGCGGAGGCGACTCGTAATTTGAAGAATCTGGGTTTGATCTCCAGTTGGAGAATGTGTCAGTATTGCCGAAGAGTCCCGAACTGGAACGAAACAGTTTTGCCTTACACCCTGGCTTGCATTAGCTCTCTAGTGAGTTTCAAGCTTACTGGGTAATACAACTAGTTATTTTTGATTGGACACTAGTCAGTAACTAGTGTAATGTGTCAGGTGCTACTTTCGGTGCAATCCAGTTTCACAGGAGGTCAATCGCGAGCTTGAATAGCTCAGTGATAACGTCTCTGATTGCAGCACTGGGTGACGCGGGTTTGAATCTCAGAAGGGACATGAGTTCCTTCAAGGCAGTTGCAGATACGCTGCTGACTGCTGAGTGCCAACCAGCACGAAACCTAGGTCTAAGGCTTCCTACCGATTGCCTCCAACCATCTAAAACCAATACAACTAGTTAGCTGTGTCAATACTATCAAAAAACAGAAAGATCTTACATGGATGAACCTTGAAAAGTATGCCAAAAAGACCAGCATCTGGTCTTATGTATACTAATAAAGTCAAATGAAAGAATTTGCACAGATATTAAAATATACTGTGAGAAGAAGTAGGGCATGAATCAATTCAAATGAAGTACGAAATGGTAGTTAAGCATGGGCAAACCCACATCACTTTCCCGAAGGTAATTTCATGGATTATTTATTTTATCTTCGGTTATTTTATGATTTATTTATTTATTTTAGACTTAATTATATTTCACTGTCAGGAAGCTGAACTATAGTACCATAATTTTCATTTTCGTACACCCCATTTTCAGTTTTCGAGGTTATTCAGCCTTTTCATTTTTTTTCCGAAATAAAACTGTACCATTCATTCTTTATTATTATTATTATTATTATTATTATTATTATATCCTTTAATTCCTAGAGGAACATAGGGCTTCAGCTGTGCGTCTCCATTGGGTTCGGTTCTCTGCTAGAGTCTTCACCTGGCTCCATGTCTGACCATACGTTTTCATCTCCTCTTCACATGACCTCCTCCAAGTCACCCTTGGAAGACCAACTCGCCGCTTCCCTTTCGGGTTCCACTCAAGGGCTTGTCTAGTGATGTCACTTGATGGTTTGTTTTCTCAGAGTACGGCCAATCCATCTCCATTTTCTTCTGCATATTTGTTTCACAGTCGGTTCCTGCTGGGTTGGTTCGCTCATTGCCAGAGATCTCTGTTGCTGATCTTTTCTGACCGGTCATCTGATCTTGAGTATTGAGCGAAGACAACTGTTAATGAGGGTTTGTAGTTTGTTTCAGGTGCTCTTCATGACGCGCAGTGCAATTCTCTGATCCGTATAGTAGCACTGACTTCACATTGGAGTTGAAAATCCGGATCTTATTTTTGATGCTGAGTGCTGTTGACCTCCATACAGACTTGAGAGTAGTGAAAGCTTGTCTTGCTTTTACGATTCTTGCTTTGATATCCTCGTCATTTCCGCCTGTAGTTGAAACGATACCTCCCAGGTAGGTAGTTAAAAGAGGCTGCTTCTTTCAAATTCCTCCCATTTATGCTGGCTGATTTTTGTATGTTGTTGTTGCTGTTGTTTTTGACCAGGAACCTTCATCACCTCTGTTTTCTCTATTTTCACCTGAAGTCCTATCTTCTCTAGATGCTTCTTCTGCCAACTTGTTGCTTTTCGCTTGCATATCTTCCAGTTTGTGGGAAATCAGACATATATCATCGGCGAAGTCCAGATCCTCCAAGTTTTTGTGTGGGTCCATTTTATGCCTGTTTCCTCATTGTCCGCTGTTTGTCGCATTATCCAGTCTACTGCAATCAGGAAAATCATTGGCAATAGTAGGCAGCCAGCTTGTCTTACTCCTGTCTTCACTTCGAAGGGTTCATTCTTTAGCTTGTTATAAATTTCATTCCATGTTATCATATATTTTAAAGTCAATATTATCCTTGTACTAACATTTTCTAAAATCTTCTAAAATTGAGTGAATGACTGTTTTTATTACAACACCATTTAAATATTCGTCATTATTATTATTATTCTCCCCATGAGTTCTGAATGGAACATAGAGTTTCAACAGCATATCGTCAGTTTAATTTTTTCTCTGCAGTCTCTTTTAGCTATCTTCCTGACTGCCCACAAGCTTTCACTTCCTCCTTTATGTTATCTTCGGATACAAAACCAAATCATCTGTTCCTATTTGAATTCCACTCGTGAGCCAGCTTTGCGCGTGATACCATTCAACGATTTCCTCAGTATAAGTTCAGTTCACCTCCCTTCACGTGTGTACATTTTTCCAGCATAGTGTTTTCCAATATTTTCAAAAGAATAGACACTGAACAAAGAGAACTCTTTTCGATAAATTCATCATCAGGTTCTACAATTATATATACATTATAATGAATGGATTAGTCTTATGAACAACATTAATGTTGTTTAAATAATATCAAATCAATAATATTGATAAATTACAGCTGAACAGCATCAACATAAAATAAACTGAATGTCAGAAGAATTAGGAAAGGTAATGGTACAAATTCATGAGTTTATAGTCTCTACTGAGGGCCAGGGCAGTAGTAGGGGCTGGACTTGTTTCTTTTGGACACAGAGCGCTGGTTGTTTGAGGCGAATTGCAATAGCCTCTGCTGTTTGGAGCAAGCGGTACTTTGACGATTCTGGTAGTTTGTTAGGCACCCGGTATATTATGGAGAAGGATTCGTCTACGCTGGCTTTGTGACCGGTTTGCACCAGATGGTCTAATATCGAGCTGTTAATAGTTTTAACTACACTTTTACTTAGCCATAGTGGGATATGTTCTCGAGCACGAAAAATCAAGTTCCTAGAGCAACGGCCAACATAACTCGCTCCACAAGCGCAGTTGAATTGATAAATACAATCTGAAGTGGCCAGTCTAGGTACTTCATCTCTCAGTCGAGGTAGCACCATCGGTCTTGTAGAGAATATTCTTACAGGGTACTCAATACAAGTAATTTCTGTGTTCGTGTAACCGTCTTCTCAGTGATCCAATTCTGTTTGCGAGGATTCATCTATGAGTAACCACTAAAATATTTCAGCTGACATAGAGTAACCAAATTTCTAAAATAATTAAGTAGTGTTAATTCAAATTTATTGTTTCCTTTAAAAATAGGTTAATATATAAAGAAATAATGGCATATTTTGGATTTTATAGATTAGCAATTCAAATTAAGTACGTATGTAGCATTAGAGTTTATTTTAGCGTACTTAATCGAGATTCTGTAACTGGTGGTTATGGTCATCGCGAAACACGCTATTTAAGCAGACTAGCATTACCTACACAGCTGACTTCAGTAATTGTTCCAATGGCTTTACCTGGTGATCCTTACACTTCTTTCAGCCCACAATAGAACCACTTAATACTGTATAACTATCTATCCACTTGAAGTAGGTTATTGGTGTCACTGGTTCCCTTACATTCATCACTTAATATTCTTTGTTAGAATACTACGTTATAAAGTGTTGGTTTGCAGGAATTTGATTGGTTACAGGTCTGATTATGAGATGACATTATTTACAGAACCACTAGAAAACCGGGGAGTGCTAGACAGCTGTTTCATCCTAGTTTGGGGGACTTCAGCGCTACGCACCCACCAAGGTTCAACTCCGGGACCTTCTGGTTATAAGGCAAGCTGGTAAACCGCTCAGGGACTGGGATCCAATCCAGTGAGAAATGAATTCTACCACCCGAAAATTCGTGGCAGACACCGCCAGCCAGTGTCATTGGCGAGTAACTATCCTATTACCGAACTTGTTGGATCACTCTGGTTACAACGTCTTTCTAGGAATCCAGGCAACCTACTGCATAAATCCAGTCTCCAGTGAAGACCAGACTAATTATCGGGTGTTAGTTTGAAGGGATTTGATTGGTTTCAGGTTGTGCTTATTACTGCATAGTCCACACGGACAGGATAAAACTGTTATTATTATTATTAACTATTATTATATGTATGCGTTTTTATGGGTTATATGGGTACGTACTGAAAGTATTCTCCGTATAAATCAACTTACCTAGAAGTATCTCTTACTGGACTGTTCACCTGACGTCGTCTAAGTAGTCTTGAATTACTTTCATACGTCAAATTGTTTGAAACTATTCTTTGGGTAAATGGTAATTTACAAGGAGTTGGGTAAAGAATTGTTTCAGTTTCTGGGATTGAATTTGTATCAGAAATAGAGGAACCATCACTAGTTCTTGATTTGTAAACAACATCTATGAGTCAGTACAATGAATAAAGCATACGTTACAGGAAGCCAGTGAACAAATAAAAAGTCTATTACACATAATTCACTAATATTTGTGTGAAAATTTTACTTGTCTGGTAATGCTCGCCAGTTATTAAACCGAGACGAGCGGTTTCGCCACTTGATTATTGATTTCCTAGTTTTGCCCTTTATAATATATTAAGTAAAACAGCAAAATTAATACACTTATACGATACATAATATATGAAAGCTAAGAATACGACAACTAATTTTATGAAACCTCTCTAACTTGGAAACTGATTTACTAGATAAAATTGATTATCTAAGCAGATAATCCTTTGTTTTAATTCACTGAGAACTATTGTCTGAAAGCATAATTTCTGAAACCACTTGTCGCTTCACAATTGCCTTCAAAAATAACTACATTAGAAGGATAGTATATTAAACGAATGGAAGCTGCTCCAGACGTAAAGGGATGTTAGTTAGAGTTTAGTGTATTAGATGCCAGACCAAAAAAAGCAAAAAACGAAAATCGCTGAGTTTCTTTGATTTATTGATTAACAGATGTTCTTCAGCTTAACTTTAGCATTTATAAAAATTTTTGCTCCTACATTTATAATCCTTTTACCATGGTATGGCGTCGTTTTAAGCTTCAATGAAGTTCTACAGTTCAACTGATATTCAAATTCACAGTTAACACAGATTAAGGTTGAAATTTACCGCGGTTTCCTCGAGAAATTAAAAGTATTCAGATCACATGGTGTGATCTATTTAAAAACGTGAAAGGCAATCAAGAATGCAAGCATAATTACGTGCTGGTAAGCAGAGGCAGAGCGAGCGAAATGGTTGCCTAGTGTTAAGATTATTTCGATGTGGTGGTTTTCAACTACTCAAATAAATCAGTAGTATATGGCATCAAGCGACTGACTTCTGACATACATTAAACAATTAACTATCATTTTCTTCATGTTTATTGATGATTTGTAACCCCTTGTAGTTATTTATTGTTGCTTACTAACCAATCACAAGGGGAGCTTGTTTAACCTTATATAAGTACAAGAAATTGTCTAAAGGTTGTAACAATGTTAATAATTACTGTGTTTGAAATTCCACTTCACAATGAATCTCTACTGCCTTAATGTTTGTTTTATTGAAAAGATAACACCATAACATCCTTACTTCGACTTTTAGCGTCAGTTTTCTTCTACTATTAGTAAAGCCTTATGGGTGTGTGAGTCTATCCCGTTTTTTGATAAAACTCTTCAAGTACATACGAAGACATCATGTGAAATCTTTGCTTTGCATTAGAAGAATAAAATTCAAATCTCAAAGCGAAGATTTTGACTTCATTAAGATGGTAGATATACTTCGTATGTAAAACATAATTGTAATCGAATTCTCAATGTGTAAATCACACAGCTCGGGGTGAAATTTTACTACAGTCTCTTTTGGAAAGTGGAGTTTATTCACAACGCAATATGTGATGCTGTTTATACAATAAATAGAGATGAAGAATCCAAGAAAGGTAGCGTAATACTTACTTTATAGTATTGATCGGTTGGACAGTTGGATAACACTCACAACACTGGACAGACATTTCTCTCGTTTTGGGCGGAGCTCATCAGCGGTGTATACGATTTGAATGAGCTCAGAGGATCGAATCGGTTCAAACTACTAGAACTGGATGAGCTGCTGATGACGTCTGCCCCAAACGAGAAAAAAGATTGTTGGATGTTTAGATCACTTCGATCCTGCTATCAGGCACTATTAGTTGAGATGAGTGGTATTTAACTAATCGTATCAATTATTAGTGTGGTGAGAGATGTCTACTAACCAATTGGTTGACAGTAATTGAGGTCAAAGTCAAGATGGACAGGCGGATACAGAACTGACACAGCCACAAGAGATGCAAGGTTAACTTTGTGTGAGAAACAACCAATCAACAGACTGTATTTTCTACTAACATTAACCTACAATAATTTACGTCAAAATCTATAAATATGTGTTGATTTTCCGTAATGAACGTTCTGTTGCCTGGCCCTTGTCTTCTGTTGTTACATTAGTACATACACATACGCTTGAACACTTTGTATCTGTAGCAGACATCATAATTAATCAGAGTAATCAATAATATAGTACTGAGAGTCGGACAAACTAAGTTACCTCTGATTAGTAGCGATGGTGAAAACCTTTTAGGTTTTATAATATTAGTATTACAGGTATATAACCATTACCATACTGTATAAAACTATACGGAGTCCTTCGAAGTGAAGATATGAGTAAGACAAGCTGGCTGCCTACTATCTCCAATGATTTTCCTGATTGCGGTAGACTGGATAGTGCGACAGACAGTGGGCAACGCGGAGACAGGCATAAAATGGACCCACACAAAACACTTGGAGGATCTGGACTTCGCCAATGATGCATGTCTGATTTTCCACAAACTGGAAGATATGCAAGTGAAAAACAACAAGTTGGCAGAAGAAGCATCAAAGATGGGCCTAAAGATGAACGTAGAGAAAACAGAGATGATGAAGATTCCTGGCCAACAGCAAGAGCAACAACAACACACAACAATCAGCATAAATGGGAGAAATCTGAGGGAAGCAACCTCCTTTACCTACCTACCTACCTAGGAAGCATCATTTCAACTACAGGCGGAACTGACGAGGATATCAAAGCAAGGATCGGAAAAGCAAGACAAGCTGTCACTACTCTCAAGTCTGTGTGGAGGTCAACAGCACTCAGCATGAAATTGAAAATAAGATCCGGATTTTCAACTCCAATGTGAAGTCAGTGCTACTATACGGATCAGAGACTTGCACTGCGCGTCATCAAGAGCACCTCAAACGAAATATAGACCTTCATCAACAACTGTCTTCACTTAATACCATTCAAGATCAGATGGCCGGCCAGAAATGATCAACAACAGTGATTTCTAGGAGCAAACCAACCAGGAACGCATTGTGCAACAAATATACGGGAAGAAATGGAGGTGGACTGACCATACTCTGAGAAAACCATCAACTGACATCACTAGACAGGCTTTCTGGTGGAACCCGAAAGGGAAGCGGCGAGTTGGTCTTCCAAGGGTGATTTGGAGGAGGTCATGTGAAGAGGAGATGAAAGCATGTGGGGAGATGTGGAGCCAGGTGAAAACTTTGTTGGAGAATCGAACGCAATGGAGACGTGCGACTGAAGCTCTATGTTCCTATAGGGACTAAAGGAAACGATAATAATATAAATACTGCAAGAAACTGACTCAGTAAAACGTCAGCTGAAATATTTAACTTGTGAAATGCATGATAGGTAAAACACTTATGAATATATATATATATATATATAATTTTAGTGTTAATCGATGAGGAAGATACCTTTAAAAGGATCTATCGTAGAACAGAGATTTGACGTGTGCTTTTGATCTTGTTGTCTGTTATCAATACGAAAGCTGTTACTATTACTATTATTATCATTATTACTTTGCCCATTTATTGAAATTTCCTCATTATGTTTCACTGATTTGCAATCTATTTCGGGGTAATCAGATGATGATGATAGTGTAGAGATTGATGGTTTTAATCTTGAATTTTGAAACTTATTGATACTTTGTAGATTTATTTGTTTAGCTGTAATAAGTGGATTACGAAATCGATGAATTCGTCTGTCTGTAGGCAATAGTTCAGGTTTAATTTTTACATTACTTCTAGAAATATGTGGTTGTCTGTCTGTACTGACTGAAGAATTCATTTCAATATGTTGGCTCTAAAATTTAATAAAAGATTATGAAAATAAAGGTGACATATATATATATATATATTAAATTTATTCGGGAACATACTGATTACTTTGGTATCTTAGAATAGACAAATCTTTTAGTTCGTGCAAATGCATTTCACTAAAATGTTTTTGACGTTCCTTGCGTTCGAACTGGAACCTAGGGCTGCAAGCCTTGAAGTCACAGTGTAATAGGAGAAGACAAGAGATCCGGTAGAGCACTTTTTAATTGAGGAAAATCACACAATGTTCATGCATATTTTAGCCACATTTATGGTTGGCTAGTTCAGCCGTAATAGACTGTCCTGATAGGCTGCTTATTTTCTGGAGTTTAAACCTTGAGAATATTTCCTGACCACAGCGTAGGCTAGACCTGGATTCGAGGAAGAAAACGCTTTAACTTCTGTAGCCATTAACTTAAAATGTTGTTTTTTTTATGTTGGCTACTTCCTGTCAATCTGTATCTATATGCCGCTGATATTACTTGTCCTTAGCACACATCACATCAGTAGCTATGGTGATATTTTGTTTTAGGGGGTAGATTTGCTAGGTTGAAGCCCAGCCCTACAATTCTCGAGGCTTACTGTCGGTTGATAAACTAGGGGAGGTTTTGGTGTGCGTCTGCTGGGAATCTATCCCGGGTTTCTCGAGTAGTTGTGGCTTATATAATGAAATTCATCTATGTCGAAAGCTGCTTTTAATTGTGCAAATTAGTTTCTCATAAAACTTCTGCGCAAAAATTTAATTCAATCAAGAGATTCTTTTAGGCGACCCCACTTGCGCTTCAGTTGTACAGTCCCAATAACATACAGTCTTTTTTCATGAAATTTACTTTTCATTTTGCTTTTCGCCTTTGTTATTTTGGTTTGATTTTATTATGAAGAGCGACGCCATGACTTTTTTAGTCCAAACCTTTCTACTATGAGATCTACAACTGTTTCGTGTGTTGTCAGTGAGGTCCTGTGTATTGCGTTTTCTATGGAAACTAACCTGATAACAGTTACATTCTTTGAAACTTTCAGAGTGCACAAAATTGTCACACTGTAAGTAATTTGGTGGGTGATGACTGGCAGTAGAATACAAGATGTGCACTTCGTCCTGTTTGAGACTAGTCGATTGAATGTACCTGCATTTCCCAGTAAGTAATGATGTCCTCAATGAGACTCAAACCCAGTGCCGATCGTATCAAATGGTAAAGAGTTATCCACTAGTCAGAATCCCCCAGATTACTTCAAGTTAATCCTCAGACATCGTCAGTGTGTCCGTATTAGGAACCGACATGTAAAAAGAGGCCAAACATTTCGGTTCAATCAGTCGATAGGAAGATTAGAATAGAATTAAAAACAAATAATTATCACATTTAAGATAAAAATTTGTCATCTGATAACGTTGATCAAATTTATTAAAGTGTTTCAAATAAATTTCCAATACATCTGGCGTATTTAAATTGGATTATGTAGAGGAAACCTGTGCGTCAGTGGCAAAGAGGTTAAGACGCTTGCCGACCATGCACATGGTCCGGGGTTCAATCCCGACCGACGCACTCCTTTACCTCACTAAGTCAGAAATAAAGCTGGTAAAGAGGAAAGGTTGGGCATGAGGCTAGCAACCCCATCCTGTAAAAAAATAAACACTGCTACAGAAACTTCAAGCCTCTAGCTTGAAGCCCTATATTCCACTGGGAACGTGAAGGAATCAAAAAAAAGAGGAAACTTACTCTGTCAGTTAATCTTGATGACGAGCATGAGATATGTCTGTCTAAAGCCTGATTGTTTCGGCTGACAAGTACACTGTTACTCTTACTGTTATTGGAATAATTGTCATTGAATGTTCCAAACACTAATCGTCTTCTTATTGATTTATTCAAGAGTGAAGATGAATTCTGTTTCTGATTTGCATTATTATTATTTATACTACTGTTACTCGTAGCAGTAGTATCATTATTTTGTCCCTTATTAATTTGCTGTTTAACTAAACGATTATCTGAAGTAGGCGGTGATGGACTTTTTCTCTGCTTATCATTTTCATAATATGTGTTAATATCGAAATCCTGCAGTTAATAATAATAAAAGAATATGGAAAAAAGGTTTCTTGGCCAAAATTCGTAAATTTATTTTATGAAACTCCATGTGAAACAGAATTAGACATTTTTATTTCCATTTCTTCATATATGCACTAGATAAAGTGGTATTATATCCTTTAAATCAACAAGGGACGATAGCTCTAATATTAATGAGTGACTTTAGGCATAGCTGTCCAATTCATTTCGAATGTTCTGGCGTTTTAAGCAAGAACTGCATCGCGAAAACACATCACTTTTTTCATCAGACAATCACTGAATGGATCACTGAGATTAGGTTCCAGTTTTAAGATGGAGTTTTGTATTTCTCTAGCTTTTGATTTATAAAGATGAAGTACGAATCTTCACCAAATATGTTATTTAGATGTCTTTACAGATAATTCTTAGGCGTCTGCAAGTGAAGTCTCTAGGCAAATATGCACTCATATGAAAATTTACACGACTGAGTTAAAGTTATTTGTTGAGAATCAACGTTTAGCATGACATAGTTTATATTACTTCACTTTCTATTGATTTATTGCGTCATTTGATGTAGGGGATCCATAAAGAAGCCACATTTTCTCACATAACTAACAAACAAACAGATTACAAGGTTCATCTGGTCATCCTCTTAAGGCTTGATCGAACAGAAAACAGGATCTTTTTCCACATTAGTCAGAGCTCTAAAAATACTTCCAAGTTAACATTTATATTATAATCTACAGATATTCTCTATCAGTAATGGGAAGTCAGTTCTTCTAAATAGGTCAGAAACTTGCACTGCGTGTCAAAAAATGGATTTCCAACAGGCTGTTTCAGACTTTTATCAACAGCTGCCACCTTCTCTGGTTCCATACTGAAGATCAAATGGCCAACCGGCCAGAAATAATAAGCAACAAGAAACTCCAAGAACGAACCAACTAAGAACCTTTTGCTTAACAAATATGTAGGAGAAAATGGAAATGGATTGGGCAGACGCTGAGGAGACTCTTTGGTTGACATCGCGCGTCAGGCATTCGCTCAAGTGGAACTCGGATGGGAAATGACGAGTAGGTCATCCAAGGACGACGTGGGGGAGGACTTGCGAGAATGTGAGATGAGAGATTATGGTCAGTCCTGGACCCAGTCAAGGAGAACAGTGGGAGATAGGACAAAGTGGTGTGTTGTTGAAGCCCTATATTCCACTAGGAATTCCAGGGAACAATAATAATAAATAATAATTTTAGCTAATTCATTCAACTTATTTGTCCTCTTTCATAATTCATTTATCCATTTTTCTTAGTTGTCATCATTTTATAGTGTTGATTATGCTAACGTCTACAAACTAACTTCATTTGAATTCCATAATTGTTTCCACTTCTCTTATGCTTTAGAATTTATATTTCTTGTTGATTCATATGAGCACTTGACTGGTATAGTTTAAACATAAACTATACGTATAAATAGAGAGAAGCTGATGAGGAGCTAACTGAAAAGGAGTGTGTTCCTTCGCTCAATTTGTTTTATTTCTAAGTTGTTATCGTTCAGTCCACCATCAGTACACACTAGTAGCGCTTTCAGAACTATCAGTATGGAGATACATAGTGTTACTAAACAGGCAGTTAGCTAACAATACAAATCTCATGTTACCTGTAGTCAGAAGTCACTTGAAAACAGTCAGTCAAACAATGGCTGTAATACTCCTATTTAAAAAATAGCAATAATAATGATATTAATAATGACAATCATTGTTGAACAAGTAATTTCTTCCATACCTGATAATGAGAAAATTGTGGATTAGCTGGTCTAAATGTTATTAATTCATTTAAAAGGTTGTCATCCAGTGTTGGTTTCTCATTCTGTTTCTCTTTAATATTATATCGTTCATATATTAATAGGCAAAAGTGAAGATGTTTACTGTTTGCATAGTAATATGGTGTATGATTTTCTTTATCACATAGATAAGGATTTGCTTTATACAAATAGAAAGTGAGAAAGAGAAATGCAGGGAAAAAAAGCCAAAAAACAACATTATTGTAATACAAATGGTGGAGATTTTCTCACATGAAAGATGTTCATAGTTTAATTAGATAAAATGTACACTTGGTAGATAATATAAGGTGTTATAGTCATATATAAAAGTTGGAAACTACAGAAGTCAGCTATTTCATCCTGCAGAGTCTGTTTATGATAAGTGGAACTCAGAAATAAAAGGCTAACCTGACGTCTGATACTGTGAGAGAACTTTAAACTGATGTCCCTTAAAGGACTGTCAGCTGGGAGTGGAAACCAGGATGAGTATTTCATTTTACTCTTGAATAGCTTGGTTAGCCAGAGGAGAAAAGAAGAATAGCAACAGCTCAATCCTCGAACACCTTGTTATCTCTGGACATCAAGCACCCCCACATGAATGCTTCACAGTGTTACACAGAGTCCCTCAATATCGTACAAAAGGACTTCGGATACGCCATCTGTAAATAGTCATTCTGTTATTGTATGTAAGCGCAATTCAGTTATGTAAATGACCAAAAATAGTCAAGACATATTGGTTGGACGATTTAATCATGAGCTGACATCAGTCAGAGAAGCATTGGATAACCACCTGGGAGTACTGGAAGGCTGTTTCGTCCTAGTTTGGGACTATTCAGCAGTACACACCCACCGAGGTTCGAGCTCCCCTTGTAACAAGAAGGTCCTGGTTTCGAACCCTGGCGGTGGGTGCGTACTGATGAATAGTCCCAAACTAGGACGGACGAAACAGCTCTCCAGTACTTCCAGGTGGTTTTCCAATGCTTCTCTAACTGATGTCAGCTCATGATGAAATCCTCCATCCGATCAAACTAAATCCTTACAAAAGCAATACTTGAAAAAACATATGTTTTAATTCATATCTGTGAGTCAGAGGTTTTACCGGAACTTAAAAAACTTAGTTATGACTATGGTTAATCTCCTATTTTGGTATTCGCACTGCACACCTTACTAATAGGATTCACTCAGTCAGTCAGTCACTAAGATATAGGAAATTGTTTCTGGCTACTCACCGGCGATCGATCAATCTGATTTCCACTTAATTTGCTAAAGGGATTTTGTCTAACTTGGAGCATCCACTTCCCCCTCAGCTTTCACCTTGCATCTCCTCGGGCAGAACAAGAAGTAACTTCAGAAAACTGTATGCTCGCACATCTAAGTATAAAAATTCTATGATACCATACTTGGCACGTATTTTATGTGATGAAAATAGCGTCAGGCAAGAATTGACTAACCTTTTTTCATCTAGTAAATAAACAATCTCCTCCATCCATCTTTATATACATTCAAGTTTTACTTTTATTATTTCTATTATATTTATAGTCCTGTTGATTCTTTGTTTTCACTTTCATAACTGCAAACACCAACTTATCTCTATGACTGCTGTAATCTTAGTTTTTTCCCTCACCATATCATGTAAAGAGAACATCATATTCAATATTTTTAATCATGCCGTCGGCCGTACCCAGCGCTCGCTTTCCAAACGTATCACCGAGCACTTACCAACATGGTTTTACAAAGGAGAAAATCGATGCCCCCGCAGTTCCATCTTAGAACATCTGATAGAATCCGGACACCAAGCTACACCCCAAACAAACTTCAAAGTCGTCTACAGAGTAAGAAGTAGTCTCCCTAAAGGTGTACGAATCAGACTTCTTCAAACTGCAGAAGCAATGGCGATTCACTTGCTAAGTCCTGAACTCTGCATACAGAAGTTCGTCCAGTCACTACACTTACAATGGACGTAATCTATCTTATTAGCCGACAAGTAAATTCTACCTAATCTTTTCTTCTGTCTCTTCATTAGTATTATTTTGCCTTCTCAATTGTAACATTTTACATTTTCAACTTTCTTGTTCTCTACCCCCACCCGATTCAATTTGTGCACCTCACTACCACTGTTACTGACTTGAACATCGCTCGGATTCTAGTCATTTATGTTACGTCACCCAACTTATTTACTCAATTTCACTTCTACTTAATCTCTACTTGTAATTACCTCTGTTGCTATCCTGACCTAAGTTGTAACATTTTAGTCAATTATATTACGTCATCTAGCTTACTAACTCAATCTTACTTTAGTTGCTGTCTGATTAACTTTGTCTCTATACTACATCATTCTTGTATTAACTAATCAATTATCTAAACTTGACAAACCTCATGTACACACACACACAAATAATTATATATAAATGCGATTGTACAGCTATGTTAATGAATTCGCCGAAAAGAGTCTCTTCGCTGAATGTCTTCTCTTTTTCATATGACTAAATGGGGATTTTCAATCTATGCAAGGATTTGTATACCGCATCGAAACAAGCCCACGACAATTTCCACTTGTATTATTATCATTACCTTAGCTGCTATCATTACTATCATTTCCATTTTATATGCTGCATGTTTTTTATTTTTCATTTTTTTATATTAACCCTATTGTAAATGTAGAAAAATTTTCTGTGTGATTAATTTTATTTATAATTTGAGGAAATTAGATGCAATATTGTGATTAATGCTGAAAAATTCCATTCTGTATCACAAGTACTGTTTTTGGAATAAAGTAAATCATTGTTATTATTATATGCATTTTTATGTACCGGAATCAGAAATGACTTATTCTATTTACGTTTTATTGGCCCATTAGAATAACTCCATTTCTCTTTGGAAGTTAATAACATGATGTTTTTCATGTAAGCTCTTGAAAATTCTAACTAATGCTTAAGTAAATCTTTCAAAATAAGTAAAATAAAAACATATTAGGTTTACTGAAGTGTAAGCCATTGCACAATTTTTCGTCTACTTGACTGGAATTTGGGAATTATTCAGTACAATGAAGTGTGATAATAAGAGTAATCTCAAGATGCTTTCACGCATAGCATAGCAAACAGCTCAACAGTTATTCCATCTGCGTAGAAAAACCGCTAAAACACTCTTAAGACAAGTGAGGATATAAATAATCGGTAAACAAACTTATATCCCATTCATTTCTGCCTTCTTGATGAGGTGCAATTAAAATTTGAATTAAATTTTGAAGTATGTGTTTAACACAGTTAATACGTTTACAGAGCATAGAATATGCTATTTATATACATATATATAGTAAAACTATACCTTTTTGACTTAGCAAGAAGTTGACAATATTTCCGTGTCCATTTATAGTAGCTAAATGCAAAGGTGTACGACTGTCTTTGTTGAATTGATTTAATAAAACAATATTTGATCTACACTGCAGGATGATTTTGCATGCATTCAAAAAGCCTGTAGATTATAAATAAAATATAAAATTTTGAGGATTAATAACTAACGCCCTTTAAAATACTTGCAACTCAGAATAAAGATAAATCATAACAAAATATTTAGAGCGAACAATTGTGGTTTCAATAAATTCTTCTTCAGGCTCTACAATTATAAATCCATTAATTTAAGCATATAATAGCCAGTAAAGGCAAATTAGAATCATATCAGAAGGTGTATGGTGGAACAAGTATAAGTGAGATGGATGGGATGGAACAATAGTCAGATAGTTTTTTAATATGCATGGTCAATGAGAACATGGGACAAAATGAGGTGAAGTAATTTAATTTAATGATATGTGTGTATATATATGTAAATATAGTCAACAGAAAATACAGGTTTCGAGAGTGAGTGTAATCAGAGTGTGTGAGACAATATGAAAATAAACCAACGAATGGGGCGGACTAGACATAAGTTCAAGGTTGAAAATAACGACAATAAGAATGATTGTAAAATAATAACGATGATGTGGTGTAAAATTACAAGCACTATTGGTGAATGATTGTCGAATAATAATAATAATAATGAATATGATGAAGTGGAATGAACAGGATTTTGTAAATACGATAGCAAGTTAGAAAAGCACTACTTAAACCTAAGGTAATAAAATCATAAGAAAGGTCATGAAATCATAAAAGTCGAAAATGAACGTTCGTCAATGAAACAGAGGAATAGAAGAAGAAGAAAAGAAAAGAAAATTGTGAAAGGAATTTATAGTGTTAATGGAGGATTTGTTGGCTTTATTGTAGGCCAAGGTAAACATAGTGGTTGAACATACTTCTTCTGTATGCAAAGAGATGGTCTTCTGGTATTAATTGCCACCGCTTCAGCTACTGATAGAAGACTTAGTCGAGCTTCTCTAGATAAGTGACTAGGAACGCGGTAAATAACTGAGAATGCCTGGTCAAGTTTTATCGGGTGTCTCGTATCTACCAAGTGGGCTAAGACTGCACTATTTACACATTTGGTTACTCCTTTACTCAACCATACAGGTACATGTTCACGCACGCATGAATAAAGACCTCTGAGTACGGCCAATTTAACTAGCTCCACATGAGCAGTTGAATTCATAGATACACATTGATGAGGCCATCTTTGGTAATTTATCCTTTACTTGCTGTGTGAGTACTGGTTTAGTTGAGAAGTTGAGTACCAGTTTAGCTGCAGGAAATGTTCTATCTACTGCTCTATTAAGTCGACATTTTAGAATGTCAGCTGCAATTTCCCCTTTGTAACTTAACTTAAGATACAAAGGTTTCTTGGAAAGGGAAAGAAAATGATGTCACTGGATGTAGCATCATAATTCACCACCGTCCCGCTGCTTGAAACAGTCAACTACATATGTGACCAGCTGATGGAAAGAAAGATAGATGTAGGAATCCCATCCAAAAAAGTCAAAGAATTATTATTGAAATGCACTATGAATGTTCAGTTTATGTTCAATAATGGTTTTTATAGACAAGTTGATGGTGTAGCCATGGGATCACCTATGGGCCCTATGCTAGCGGATATTTTCCTAGCAAAGCTTGAAAATGGTACACTTAAAGACACGAATAAAGGGTTCGCCTGGCCCTTGTCTTCTGTTGTTACATCATGACCAATCATCTGTGAATTTTTCAACTACAAGTACTAAATTCAACGGGTTGATTATATTGCTTAACTCAGAGCTACATTTCAATCAATGCACAACAGAGATTAGCTAAAGTGACTGACTGCCAGCTGATGCAATATTTATACATATACAGTCTAATAATGAATTGCGTAAATTAATGACCAGTTTTCTTGATTCACAAGTAAGTAGTGATTCAAATTTACATGGGAATTTGTTTTTATTCATGATCTTAAGTAAAATACCAACTGACACATTAGGTACTTCAGGCATGACCTCCTGCTGACTAACCTACAACACTCAACACAACAACGACATATTTACTTTGCATAAAACTTACCATTCATTGCTGCATAATGTAGCACGCTTTGGTCGTCCTTGTCCACAATTAATCCATACTCATGGTTTGATAAGTACTGAAATAATGTGTAAAATATTCATATGAAATGATAAAATTAATTTCGATGCCGTATATGTAGTACACATAAAATAATATGATTATACATATATATATATACTCCCTTTGTTAGAGTGAAATAAAGAGCTTCAAGCTTCGATGTTTCAGTTGCGGCGATTTTATTTTTACGGAATGAGGTTGCTAGCCGTATGCCCAGCTTTCCATCATTACCAGCCCTAATACTGGCCTGATTGGTCAGCATTTCACCACTGAAGAACCAACTTATATATATATATATACATATATATATATATATATATGGAGAGAGAGAGAGAAAAAACATCATCAAGAAATTCGTTTAAGCAGCGTATGCTCCAAAAATGTGGATCACTCTGATTTATGAAGATGAATGACAGAAAATTAGAATCACTGGTAAACAATGAAATGGATTAATAACTGAGTTAATAAGCGCAACATTACACGCAATTTTCTTCAAAGAAATGGAGTAACAATGTATATTTATAAGCTGTAGTTCATTTACCCGACTGCCTGAAATTTTTATAGTAAATCACTTTTAGACTTTGTGGCGTGGAGATTTCACTTGAAACTTACATCCGATCTTAGGTCATATAACTCTACACTGGTTAGTTATTGGAATGTAAACGGTATCATAGTACCAGATAATACAAAATCGGACTTCTAAACTGCCATTTCATCCTGATTCGAGACTCGTCATCGGTACGCAACAACCGACGTTCGAACCCAGCAGGATTTTCCGGTTACAAAGCAAGCTCGTAGGCCACTCAGCCATTCAGCTGTCCAGTACTTCCTGGTTTTCTGGTGCTTCTCTAATTACCGTCAACTCATGATCAAACCTTCAACTAATCGGGATCTCTGTAGACATAGATTTGAAAATTCCCAATTTTTTCCACTCAAAGGTAGTAGGCTGCGAGACTTAATCTGAAAAGCTATTTTTACATAATGGATAGAATACTTAATTTTTTAACATTTTTATAAACCAAATAAAAGTTAAAGCAAATAATATTAATAATGACAGACAATGGCTCACCTCCAAACACTTTAAACGATTATCTTTATATAAAGCGTGGTGTATGAGATGGTAACCACTACTGTCGTAAATCCATTGGTTTTCTGGAATATTCTGAAATTTAGCCGCCTAGATTTAACCAGTCAGAACAATAAATACATAAAATGAAGTATAATTCTCTTAACCGAAAAATCCTTAAATAAATTTCTTTTATTGTATATCACTATGAGTAAGAAACATGTTAATTGTGATTACGAGTCCCTCTTTATGCAGTGTTTAACAATAGTTATCCACTTAACAGTTAGAATTGAAACATACCAATTTTTGGCTTTCATTAAGTGATCTCTTATATTCCTACTTGCTTCAGCTTCAAGGTGAAGGACAGGATACTCTGGATGTGACAGCTAATAAAATTTTGCGATATAAACAACTCTTTAAATATTCCCATTTATAATATTAGAACAAGACATATAAGCGAAAAATATTGTTTTCAATTAGATCTTCTTCAGGCTTTACTCTAATTTACATAGATTTATATATAAAATTTTAACTAATGACGGTGATTTTGGGAATCAAATAATAATAATACTGTGGTAAATGTTTTGAACGAAATTAATAACGATGATTATCATGATAACAAAATACTGATAATAAGGTTTATGCAGGTGATAAGAATAACAAAGATAGTATATGTATATAAGTGTATAAATAAATTGGGTCAAATCTTAAAAGGTGAAGTGGAACGATAATCAGAGTTTAAATAAATATTATAAAAGTACGAAGGAGATGGAAGGTAAGAAATGGTGGGAGGGTTTTGAATAGAATTCACCTAGGCCAAGGGAGAGACAAAGGTAGAACTAACTTCTTTTGTATGCAAAGACTAGGATTGTTCTGTCGAATTCCCACAGCTTCGGCTAGGTGTAAAAGACGGGTTCTGATTCGATTCGAAAGACTCGATGGATACGATAGATATTTTTGAAAGCACTATTTTTGTCCACTTGGTGACCGCTATCAATCAAATGAGCCAAAATAGAACTTCGTATGGATTCTATTTGACCTTTTCCGAACCATGAAGGAAGATGCTCATTAATGCGTTTGTTAAGTTGTCTAGTTGTTCGCTCTATATAGCTTTCTCCACAGGAGCAACTAAATTTAAAGATACACATCGAAGGGGCACAACTAGGTAGCTTATCTTTCACTTGAGCAATCAAAATTGGTAGGCTGGAAAATGACAAACAAAGGGTGGCAGCAGTATAAATCAGTTTTATCGCTCTCGATAATCTCAGATGTAGGACTTCACTAGCCACGTCCCCATTAAATTGCAGTTTCATGAACAGTTCTTTCTTTTTAACTGTTGTCAGTTTCTCTTCATTGTACCTGGTATTCATGTGTCTCCTAACAAATCTCCTAGGATAACCCATTTGGACCAGCGTATTTTGGATATATCCTAGCTCATTTTCTAGGGAGTCATCTGTACAGATACGTCTTGCTCTATTCGTGAGGCATCTGACCAAATTGATTTTATATCGGATTGGTACAAAACTGAGGAAATGTGTATATTGTCCTACAGATGTAGGTTTTCTATAGACATCTCTCTTGAGTGAACCATCCTCTCTTCTGCTCAATTGGACGTCAAGGAAATGTAATCCACCATCATGTTCTTCTTCACACGTGAAGATGAGCGATGAATGTGCATCATTAAACTTTTTTAACATTACATTCTTGTCAGTTTTCACATCAAGAATAATGAACGTATCATCAACATAACGAAAATAAGAATCATTTTCCTCTATTACTTGTCTCAGTGGACCATTTTCAATCTTCACAAGAAAGAAATCTGCCAAAATTGGCCGCAATGGAGAACCCATGGCAATACCGTCGATTTGCCTGTACCTAGGTGAATTCTGTTCAAAACCCTCCCACCATTTCTTACCTTCCATCTCCTTCGTACTTTTATAATATTTATTTAAACTCTGATTATCGTTCCACTTCACCTTTTAGGATTTTACCTAATTTATTTATTTAGTGAATTGTCTACATATATGATTATATACATTTACTATCTTTGTTATTCTTATCACCTGCATAAACCTTATTATCAGTATTTTGTTATCATGATAATCATCGTTATTAATTTCGTTCAAAACATTTACCACATTATTATTATTATTTTGCAAGTATTGGTTTTGTAGGGATTTGGTTTGATTGCATGGAGGGTTTCATCATGAGCTGACATCAGTTAGAGAACCACTGGAAAACCAGCTGGGAGTACTGGACAGCTGTTGAGAATTCAAGGACCATTGGATCGGGTCCCAGTGGCTCAATGGTCTACGAGCTCGCCTCGTAACCAGAAGGTCCTGGGTTCGAATCCCGGTGGGCGCGTACTGCTGAAGAGTCCCAAACTAGGACGAAACAGCTGTCCAGTACTCCCAGATGGTTTTCCAGTGGTTCTCTAACTGATGTCAGCTCATGATGAAACCCTCCATATTATTATTATTATTATTTGATTCCCAAAATCACCGTCATTAGTTAAAATTTTATATATAAATCTATGTAAATTAGAGTAAAGCCTGAAGAAGATCTAATTGAAAACAATATTTTTCGCTTATATGTCTTGTTCTAATATAAACAACTGCCAAAATCCTAAAAAAGGTGATTCTACGATACCTGCCTACAGTGAAGAAAGGTCAACCCGAAGAAACGAGGTTAATTTTAAAAAATAATCTGGATTGTGTCAACCTAATATTCATCAAATATATATAGTATTATTAGAGGACGGAGATTATCTGAAAAATGTGATGTATTTGCGCTATACATTTCGAACAATCTGATCACACATTTACTTGTCAAGTCAATATATATGGAAAAGTTAAATTAAACAAGGTGACAAAAACAAGAATTAAGAATAATTAACACAAATGTTTGGTAATCCAATCAAATAAGGATTACCAAGGTAGGTTTAGAGTAATAACAAACTGTTTTTGAATACACAAGGGGGGCTTAAGTTTATGAATGGCTATAGACTCAGCGTATTTCAGTAAACGTCCTTGACCGTTTTTATAGATGACCTTAAAGGCTGAGTTAACATCAATCTTATGGTTCATCTCGATTAGGTGTTTAGCTATAGACGAAGTTGGTAGTCTGACACCTGCATCTATTGGTTTTACACAATTCATTTGTTTTTCTAGCCATTTTGGGATATGCTATCCCACCCTCACATGCAAAGTACGATTACTCCTCCCTATGTATGTGTGACCACACACACACACACGAAAATAGTGTGAGATGTGACATAATCACTTGTGCACTTTTGAGGTTTGCAGTGGAGCATATTTTTAGCTTTTTCGACAATTACAAGATGGGCTGCATAGTAGGTTCTACGGATGACCGAATTCAACCTTTGTCTCAAAATCCTACTGTTCATTTCCCCGTTGTATATGGTAATTTGATGAAAACATTTTTCTTAGGAGCGGTATGGATTGTAGGTTTAGAGACTAATTGACTTCTACATCTTTTTAAAAATTTTAAAGGATATCCGTTTTCAACAAGAGTATCCATCAATATTTCGTTTTCTTTGTCTATGACATCAGCCGTGCAAATACGCTGAATCCTCTTAAATAGACACTTCACCAAGCCTCTCTTATACTGTAATGGACAGAAACTGTGAAAATTAGGGTACTTCCCTGTCCTGGGCTTTCTGTGGATTGATCGTCTTATTGAACCATCATCTCTTCGACTCAGAAGTATGTCTAAAAATGCAAGCTGGTAGCGACTTTCTTCTTCGCATGTAAGACTTATATGATTCTGTACAGAGTTAAGTCTGTCTAATAGACGACTCACATCTTCATGATCGTCGCATATCAAAATGATATAATCTACAGTGTTGTGAACACGTGCAGTAATTTTGCTCGAAATATTACCAATAACAAAACTTATCATTGTGTGTAAACTACTGAAATATAATTATACTTTATTTAATAACAGATTAGTTATGGGGTATCAAAATAAATAGTCGTATTTGTGTGACAAACGTGCTAGGCTGAATTCGATTACAAAATATTGTAAAACGGGAGACAATGGTGGTGATTTATCACAATAGATTTGTAGAGTGTGGGGTAGGAAAATTGACAAGTCCAGTTCAAGGTTATAAAATGTGTCAGGTGAGTGGCTAGTACAAAGTGTACAATTTGTAAGAACCTGAAGAGAAATTATTGACAAGATTATTCTTCGTTCAGATTGACTTTTAATTCGTAATATTTGTCTGTCTCTGATTTTTAAATAGTATCTTTAGATAAATTATTTTAATATTTTTGTTTTAGTTAGACAAACACTCATTAATCAACTCCATATTAGATAAGTTTATTTCTAAATATCACACAGTAATGCAGTACTGACAACTGGATGACAATAATTTCGAGCATAAATTATTGCCACTCATAATCATATCAATTTTAGTCACACAGTTTCACGATTTGTTTTATATTTATTTTTCTCTGCATTCTATCACTCCAACTTTCCTTTGTTGTTTGTTGCCACTTTCCACCGGTCGGTTTTCGACATAGAACTTTGCACATATGTGCGGCAGTTCAAGTCACCACACTCCATGTAGCACACAAAGGAAGAGAGGAAAGTAGGAGAAATGCATAACATAGACAGTAAACAGAGGTACGGGACAAAGGTATGGTAATAACGAAGAACAAAACAGTTTAATTGGAAATCATAAGTTACTATTATATGTTATGTCGGCATTTAAACCAACCAACTAACTCACTCAGATATAAATTTTTTCGGCTGGAGGACCCAATATATCGACTTAAGAAAAATAATATAATTTACCAAATACCGTGTAATGACTGGGAGGTCAATTACATAGGTCAAACTAGACTATTGGAACATAAAAATTTAGCTAGACTTTGAATAATTGACCCTGCTAAGTTAACTAACCTAGGAAAAAGTTCAGCAATCGCACTGCATTCACTTGCATGTAATCACGAAATAGGATGGATGGGATAGGGTGGGAGTAATAAAAAGTAATATAGTTAGGTGGAGAGAGAGGTTAATCACTGAAGCTTTGTTTGTCGATTCAACACCGCACAAGTGCAATCGAAATGACGCAACACCTATACCGGATAAATGGAAAGTGGCAACAAACAATAAAGGGAAGTTGGAGAGACAGAAAGAAAGAAAATATATATGAGACAAATCGTGAAACTGTGTGACTAAAATTGATATGATTATGAGTGGCAATAATTTATGCTCGAAACAGTGTCATCTAGTTGTCAATACTGCATCACTGTGTGATATTTAGAAATAAACTTACCTAATATGCAATTACAATCTACCATAGTTTCCAAGTTCTATACTTACATTAATCACGGATTAGTCCTTGTTACTATTATGATCACCTTGATTATTATTCACTAATTTATATGCCTGAACTTTGATTGTGTTAACCGCACTGATGAAAAGGATCGACTATTTATAGAATAATTGCATGACTAAGCTTGGAAACAATAGGACAGAGTTCAACAAATGTTTTGGGGGTAGAAATAAAGTTTGATAAAGTTTCCCCAGTGGAAAACCTGATTTTGACTAGATGAAGTACAGCACAGTAGAGAAATTACCCGTCTTTCTGCAGCTTACTTTCGAAGGTGACGATACTACTAGTAGGATAAGATGCAGACTGAACGCTGTTCTGGAAAGAATATATCCAGCTGCCAAACTTGTATGTGTTTATCAAACAACCCGTTATTTAAGACAGTCGAAAGTGGACAAACTCTCACCTCATGTTAACTCCAACTGCGTCTACCGTGCCAAAGCGCATACATTGTAAGAACAGAGATAAGAGTTATTGTCCGCATCGCTGAATACATACCAAAGAACCTGAGATTAAAGGGCCCACAAGCATTAAACAGTGCGATTGCCCGCCATCTAATAGACAGTGGCCATGTTGTGGACAATCTGAAGGTGTTCAAAATAATCAACAGACAAAAGAAACCTAGCCTGCTTCGCTTTACTGAGGCGATCGCTATCAAACGGTTAAAACCAAATCTATGTACGCAGAGAGAGACAGTGGTGAATCTTGCACTGCCTTGTTACTATCAACAACCAAAGGAAGAAATTTCACTACGTCATCTTTTGAACTGTTTAGAAAACTTGGATTGTTTTGGCTAAACATGACTCATCTTACACCTCTTTTTGTCTATTTTATAAAGACGTGTTTTTCTATGGTTACGCAACCCATTACTTTCTATACTCTTTCTAGTTCAACTTTATTTCTATTCACAAAACATTTGTTGAACTGTGTCTTTTTGTTTCCAAGCTTAGTCATGCAACTGTTCTATAAATAGTGGATCCTTTTCGCTCTTAATTATTCAACAACTTACATTTTATCTGACCAAAGTTACTCTCAGTTCCAATCAATTAGTCACTATCATTGTAAAAAGTATTATGTTCATATCTTTATTTTAGTTTTTAATTTTGGTATTGATCAGGTCGTAACCATCAGTTGAGAAGAATCCACGAAATAATAGAAATAAAAACATGAGCTCAGATTATCCTGGTACATTTGTAGATCTTGCTTTATTCAAACATAGTAAAAATCTTGTTGCATAGACTGAGTATAGACAATTATTTTATTAGAACTGAAACATTGTCTGACATTTATGATATGCTTTCTTTATTCAATTTATTGTTCTAAAACAATTTTTTCTTGAATATAAGAGAAATTAATTTTGGACAAATTGTTGGTTAAATGATCAGAAGTTGGTTACTCTAGCTGTTGGATAGTAACACTCACTCTTTAAACTACCAGGATGTAAATTATTTATTAGATAAGATTGTTAAACACAAAACTCACCTTCATTAAAGTGATTAGATTTCCCAGCTGATCGGATTCACAAGCCCATATAACTGGAGTCAGACCGTATTCATCACGAGCAGTAAGATCAGATCCTTGTAATATTAACGTCTAAAGTGTTGTAATAGTAGAGGTACACTTAGAGGAGGATTTATTTCTTCATACTGTGGTCAATAAAATCATTCATTTTTAACAATTTTTCATATAAAATTTGATTATGCCTAATTAAGATCCAGCTACTAAGTGTTAGCTAAAGGGGAAAGAATAAATCAGTGTGATCTACTAGGTGTAGTGTATTCTCCAGGATCCATTAATTTCTCTCTGTTCTCCAAATAATTATACTTTCTGTTGCACATTTCCTTATGGTCTAGTCCCTTTGAGCTTTTCTTCTTTTCTGTGTGCTACATAGAATGGACAGGTGCACTTTTGTTCTAAGTTCCACACTGAAAACTCAGAGACAGGGTGTGAATGAAAAACTGAATATAAATATTTACAGGGAAATCCTAGAAAATATGTAGTAAAACTGTGTTAAAAGCGAATTACTCAAAGAAAATTCATTTTACTTGGCTTGTAGTGACTGAAGATTCCATAATGTATCAAAATTATTTTTATCCCATTTGGGACTCGTCATCTGCACATGCCTGTTCCCCAGTATAATAATAATATTGTTCCCATTGAAATTTGAACTCAGAAGCCATCGTGCCAAACTCTTAAGCGTTATGTATTAGATTAATGATTTTCATTTCTGCACTCTGGATAGAACTAAAAGTATTGCCCTCAACAAATATGCAGGAGAAAGTGGAGATGGATTGGACACTCGCTGAGGAGGCCACTGGGTGACATCGCGCGTCAAGCCAAAGCTCGAGTGGAACCCGAAAGGGAAGCGGCGAGTGGGACGTCCAAGGGTGACATGGAAGAGATCGTGTGAAGAGGAGCTGAAACAGTATGGACTAATATGGATTCAGGTGAAAAGTACAGCACAAGACAGAAGCAAGTGGAGGCGTGCAGTTGAAGCCCTATGTTCCACTAGGAACCCAAGGGAACAATAATAATAATAATAACCCGGCCTGCTTCAATCAATAGGTTATCTAAATTTCCACACACAAGAAATGCGTCGAACTTTCTCGAATTCTTATTTATTTCATTACTCAATCATGTCGCTGGATCGCAAAATGTACTCATGTGCCTTTTTAACTGACCTTAAACCTGCTGTTATGCATTTCTCGAAGGTAACCAAGAAACTATATGTCATCAGGGATTGGTTTTGGCTTAAGGTCGAACAGTATTGTATCACTCAATACACTGCCAATTAGTATTTTACTTGAAGATCCTGGAAGAAGTGTGTGCACTAAGCAATAAAATGCTCTGAGAATTCTATCCATTTGTGTTAGCATTTAGTTCCAGAATAATGCTTTTACTATTTTATCAACTGTAAGCTTTCTCTCCCTTTAAAATTTTAGGCATTTTGCTAAAAAATATCAGCATAAATTAAACACTTCGACATAACTCAGTATTGCTAAGTATTTCGAACACTTTTTTTGTATTGTATTACTGTAACACTTGCGAAACTAATATATGTACCTCATAATTAATATCAAGGTATTTTTCTTTCTTTTACTTTATAGATACAGGTAACACGAATGCAGGGGACCAATTGTCAAGCAATGTAAATGGACTGAAGATAAATGACTAGGGACATTGAACTTTTATCTTGAATATTCACGCTTAAATCTGTGTTTCTTTTTATAGTGTACCTTTTTGCCTCATTTGTGGACTTCATGTGTTCTTCCTTGTGTATGCTAGTATGTCGTGTTCATTGGTTGGTCAGGGGTATTCTTTCTTGTTTTAAAGTTGAAGCTGCTCCTATCACCTTTACATCACACTTTAAACAAGTTATTTTCAAATTAGTGAAGAATGGCGAGTTTTAATACATAAGGATGAACTTCATCAAAGTATGCCTAGATTCTTTTTTATTGGACACTAGTTAGTAAGTAGTGTAATGTGTCTAGTGCTTTGTTTATTGCAGACTGGGTTCTCTAGGTCAAGTTTGCAATGTGGCCACCATTCTAGGTACCTCACCGTCACGGTGCACTTTGAACTGTTGATGTTAGATGGCTGGAATGCACTGTGGTGGTGAGCTACCTAGAATGGTGGCCACATTGCAGACTTGACTGATAGAATTAAGTCTGCATGAAACAAGGGACTAGATACATTACCCCAGTTATTAACTAGTGTCCAGACAAAATTGTCCAATACAATCCTACAGAAAGTCAATTGTGAACCTGATTAGGTCAATGGTAACGCCTCTGACTGCAGCACTGGGTGATGCGGGCTCGAATCTCAGAAGGGACATGAGTCCCTACAAAACTGCAGGTACGCCCTGATGATGAGCACCAGCTGGCACGAAACCTAAGTCCAAGGCATTCTGCCGATCACCTCCAACCATCTAATGTCAACAATGCCTGGCTTATTACATCATTAATTCATACCACTAGAAGTATAATGAAGAAATTGTGTTCTTTTGCCGAATACTATAGTTTATCGTTCATAAGTACACTTCTAATATTCCCGCAATAAACCTTCATTTTATTGCCTTACAAGACTTTTATTTCTTAAAGAATGTGCCATATTTACAACTTAAGTCGTCTAATAATTCAAGATTTTCGAAATATCTCAGGGCGGTTAAAGAAATGGATATTACGGAAAGAAATAGTGAGGGCTATGATTTTGGTAGAGCATCCTCTTCTTTCATATTATACTGTCTTCAATAGGTATTGCAAAATATAAAAAGTTTTGTCCAGTTGTCTAGACAAACATAAGCATTAAAAAGTCGATTTCACAATCACTCAGGTAGCTGTTTATATAAATATATATATTAAACGTTCAACTTATAATTATTCAATTTATCAAACCCATATATAATAAAAGCTTGAATTAGATTTGTTTAAGGTGACCTAGTATCAAACTGTGCACTGATATTATTACCTCAGACTGACGTAAATCAATTTTTACACTATGTAATTAAGAAGTTCGTTGTTAGTAGGTCAACAGAATTAATCTTTATCAAGAAACTCTTGTCTATATTTGATTAATAACTGATTCTTTGGCAAAGTGTACCGAAGGAAAAACACAATTATTGATGTATATGTTTCATCAATGAAAATATTTCTACAATTTCTTTTTCAATTATTATGAAAGTGAACGAGATTGGTTTAAGTCTTCTGGCAGAATATTTTACCAGCTAACTTTGTTTACACAATTTCTTGGTAGTGGCTGAAGAAATATTTAAAACAGTGGATAAACGCATTATTGATTACAGTTATATTTGTTCCAGGCTACGTTTCTTTTGTCTACGTGACTTTGACTATCAGTAAATGGTAACATTACAGACAGGTGGGATGGATAAGCTTAGCTGCTTCTTCTACTTTTTCTAGGACACAGACAATATAGTCCGGTTAAAAGAACTGTTGGTTAAAGTTCCAGTGTTTTCTGAAGGTACTGAGAGAAAACATGAATATATATTTGGTATCCACTTTATAAGTGATCTATGCTAACACTTAGCCTACAGATGACTACAGCAACTCCACATGATTAAGGAGGGATTGTTTAGGATTTACCTGAAAGGAGTTATTTTCGATGATGTAAAGGTATTCTGCAATAAAACGAGATTTTGAGCGAACAATTGTTTTCGATTACTTCTTCTTCAGGCTCTACAGTTATAAATCCGTGAATAATAGAGTACATACAGCCAATAAAGGCAAATGAAAATAATATGAGAAACTGTACTGGGGTACATGCGTAAGTTGAGATGATAGTCCATTAGTTAACATAGTCAATCAAATGTGTATAGGGTATATGGTCAGAAAAAATGTGATGAAATGTGAATGAACAGTTGGGTGATATAGTGCTGTTTTATAGTCAACAGAATACAAGTGTCATTGGGGTGAGAGAAATGCGATAAACACGAAATACATACAAACACACATTAACAAAGGGGACACTGAATGTGAGGGCTGACCGATAATGTCTAATTATAAAATAAAGAGGCTAAATTGTAAATTGCAATAAGATGTTACAGAATTGGTAGGCTTAGTATAAAATCACAAAGGTTGACAAAATCAAGGGTAACAATGAGGTGAAATAAACTGGGTGGAGAAATGGGTAATAAAGACATGATATCACAAAATGATAATAATGGTAATAATAATACGGAAAATTATGATCCTGGTGACCTTATAGCGGGCCAGGGTAGACAGAGAGAGTGAATAAGTTTTTTCTGTACACATAAATCTGGTCTTTTTCTACTAATCTCTAAAGCCTCAGCTATGGCTAGGAGGCGTAATCGTGTGCCTTTGGGGAGATTGTTCGGTACTCGATACACAACTGTAAATGACTCATCTGCTTTGATGCTGTGTTCTCTATCCGCTAGATGAGACAGAATTGCACTACTTAATGGGTTGGTTGCTCTTTTCAATACTTGAATACAAGGTTGCTCTTTTCCCAAGCCAAACAGAAATATGTTCACGAGTGCGTAAAGATAAGTTCCTTTGGGTACGACCTATAAAACTAGCTCCACAGGAGCAGTTGAATTTATATACACACACTGATGTCGCCATTTCGGGTAATCTATCTTTAATGCACAGTGTCAATTCTGCAATAACTTTACAGTACTACAATCAACTTTACCTTACTTTGCTACTTAAAGTACAAGACATTCTGGAGGCTACTAAGTTTCATAAATGCATAGAACAGTTTCAACATACTTGAACACATGTTTGTGAAGCCCAATAAGCTGCATAATGTAAACTAGTTCTCTTCCCACTTTGTACAAAATTCTTGATTGATTCACTTTGTTTCAGTTTGAATATTATTTCATCAATTTCTTTACCTGTAAATATCAATGGGAGAAAACATTGAGATGATAAATAGCCTGTAGATTGTAACTAACATTAATCAAGCGATTTCATATAGAATAAAAACCAGTATAACAAAAAGAATAAAAATGTTCCCATTGATTTTCATTTTTTGTCCTTCACGTTCCCCAGTGGAACATAGGGCTTCAAGCTAGTGGCTTGAAGTTTCTTTAGCAGTGTTTATTTTTACAGGATGGGGTTGTTAGCTTCATGCCCAACCTTTCCTCTTCACTAGCATTACTTCTGGCTTATCAAGGTAAAGGAGTGCGTCGGCCGGGGATCGAACCCCGGACAATGTGCATGGTTGGCGAGCGTCCTAACCGCTATGCCACCGACGCGTTCCCATTGATGCTGAAAAACTATCAAATAGTGAAACAGTTTAAACACCTTTTAATAATAAATGAAAGGTTTATGAACTGAAAAAAGTGACGAGTAGTGAAAAATGTCAGATACCGCAAAGCGCACCATACAGACGGATCATAAAGTTGACTTCAGTAGTGCCTTCAAACCTACCTGTTATACAGGTTTGGGTCGCATACTTAAATTTTGTTGAAATCCTAGTCGTTAAAAAGCTAAAATCTATTGTGTGAATTCAAAAATTATCTTTTATTACTTTGAACAGACCTTGATAATCAGCTATTTTATGTAGTAATGCTTTTATCCCCCCTTGCATTCCTTATCTGTGATTTTGACCCTAAATAAACACTTCAACCCCGTACTGATTCAGTTTTGGTCTTTCTTTCTGTGTTAACTTTTATATTAGTATGCATGGTAAGTATATATATGATCAGGATTTTTGAAATGTGTTGCACAAGAATTTACGTTTCAGATAAATGAACTTCACTATTTCTGTGGTTACTAAAAAGCTTATGTATCTAATTTCCAACCTCTCGACAATCTATAATATCTCCAAATTATATTACCTAATACATTGATTTAAAGGTTTATAGAGGATTTTATGAAGCTTATATGATAAAAATGAGATAAGTTAAATAAATTACTGCCCGCCTAATTTACTAGCGGGCACTAAGCCTAGTAAAGTGAGAAGGTTGGACGTCAGGCTAGCCATCTTCCCCGAGAAACCAATCCAATCGCTACATGAAATCCAAAGCATAAGAAAAATGTATAAAAACTAATTTCTCTTTGGATTCGCAGAGACTGAATAACGCGGGCTACTGAAAACCTGTACGTCTGTGGCACAGCGGTTAGGACTCTCGCCGACCATGCACATGGTCCGAGGTTCGATCCCCCGCCGACGCACACCTGATATCTATGGTCGGCCTGCTAAATTTGGGCTACCGATATCACATGATGAAAATTTCATACTTGTATCAAAATACTGTGTGGAATCAAGCTATAATAAAATTTAAAAAAAATAAAGGACGCCAGTAAGCTGATGTGTCCTTTTTCGATGAAACCAAAAATGAGCATGAGGACATGGAATTTCCGCGCGATGATTGAACTTGGAAAGGCTTCTCAGATTGCAAAATAAATGAGATTATATGATGAAGAAGAGCTCGGAATCCATGGGGGCGTATGGAATGGATTCGGAATCTTCAAATTGTTAACTGCAGAGTCAATAATCTACTCTGGTCACCCAGACGGCAACCACGAGCACAATGAGGGAGTGACTAGTGTGGTATCACCAACAGAATCGTGGCCTTTTATGCAGTGGGAATCAATCTCCTCCAGGAAAATGACAGCAAGGGGGAAAGTTACGACTAACCAGCACTAGGCACCTATAAACAACGCTGAGGAAGAAAAGAGGGAAGATTTCTACAGACAACTACAAATGGTGATGAGGAAGGCTGCACACTACCCTTAATGATATTCGTGGTTGTGATAGAGTGTATCATGCAGCAGGTTGCGGCTGTTGAGATGACAGAGCATCCTGAACCGACATGAGGACTGTAGAAGATTTGGAATTCACGAGTAGTTTATGTGTAATGTCACAGAAGCTCTAATTTCTGCAAGCGGAAATCGACAAGCTGGGAGAAGAAGTAGCAAAGACTAGACTTCAAGTGAACATTGAGAAGACAGGGGTGATGAAGATATCTGTTCACCACCAAAAACAAATACCAGTCACCATAAACGAGAGAAATTTGAAGGAGTTCACTTCTTTCACTTGTCCAGGTAGTGTCGTTTCCACTACAGGTGGCATGGTTGAAGATATTAAAGTAAAATCTGGAAAGGCAGGACAGGCCTTCATTAATCTGAAATAAGTGTAGATGTCGACTGCACTAAGCATAAAGAATTTAATTCATATTTTCAAAGCTAATGTCAAGTCTGTTCTTCTAAATGGTTCAGAGGATTAGCGGACAAGTTAAGGAAAGCATTTCGAACAGGCTTCAGACCTTTATTAATATTTGTGATCTCTCCACACTGAATTTCAGATGGCTAGAAATGATTAGCAACAAGGGATTCTGGTAACGGACGAACGAAGAACCTACCGCCCAACAAATATACTAGTAGAAATGGTGATGTATTGGGCACACATTGAGGAGACCGCTAAGTGACATCACGCTCCAGGCCATGGAGTGGAACACAAATAGGAAGCGATGGGTTGAGAGTCCGAGGGTGACATTGAGGAGATCGTGTGAGGAGGAGATGAGGGCTTACGGGCAGTCGTTTTAATGACTCTTCCAACCTACATCATTTCGCTTTATTGAAGTCGATAACATTACATTTCTCAGTACATTTTGCTCAATGTATTTTATATGGAATAATCAGCAATTTTTAAAATGTACTGGCTTACAGTTTTACACAACAGTGAAGTCGAAATACAACCTTCAGTACCAGTGCTATCATCATTCCATACATTAAATCTGTACCTAAAACCTTCCGATAACTTTTTCTAGAAATTTGTGTTTTGCCAGCACTATTTATTTATAGAATATTATGAACTTCGGTGGCAGCACTTAAAAACTAAGTTAATTGCGTGCTTTCCAAATGGTTGACCGACTTGGTCTAAAATCAGCACATTTCTGTTGCGCATTATATGATGAATTATCTGGGATATCAAAATATATCCAAGGCTTTTATTTAGCATATAAGCACTTTCATGATAGCTCTCTATAAAGCCTCAACTACACTCACTCAGTAAAACTGCATTTGATCAGAAAACTCTCTGCATCTGTGAGAACTGTGCACTGAGTGCTTACAGCTTAAATCTCACCATCGTCTTAATCAAAAGATATACTATTTTCAAAAAAGTTACCTTCTGTTTCTTGGACAGCCCGATGGTCTTGATTATTTGACAATAAGCCAATGTTGAAATGGTCCCTTGGTATAGACAAAGTGCATAAATCTGTGAAATATGATAGCTGGTGCAACTAGAGACTAACCTTTTGGAATACATGGAATATCTATATCTGAGCAAGGTGTAGGAATATCCCGTTTACATTTTAAAGGGCTGTTATCTCTCTAAAAATGTTTAGATACAAGAAAAGCATTCCTACAAGTTTTCTGCATTTTTTAGACTGAAGAATGGCATAATTAACAGCATCCCTAAGTTCGGCATAATCGGCATCTTTTGGTAAAGAAGAGTTGAATGATTTGAGCTGTTGAAGAAAAACTTTCAAGCTGATTTCTATTTGTGAACGGTCGTTCATTCGTATCACTTTGGAGGTTCTGCATTAAGGCTTGAGCATAGTCAACTAATTTCCTAAAGTAATTGAATAACATGAATTTTCAATGGTTCGAAAGATTGAAATAGTTTTATTGCTGTTAAAACAACAGGTTTGTGATTGGCGAAAATGATTTGACTGATTTGTAAAAAATGCATCCATTACGATCTCCTAGAAGTTCGCAAATGAATCTTTTACTAATCAAAGTGGTGAGTGAAAATTTAGTGCCGACTGGATTGACCTTTTGGAAAAATAAGATTAAATATCCAATTTTGCCTCAGTTTCGAAATTACAATTTCCAGTTACCATATCGTTTTTTAAATCCATGACGCATTTAGACATTAGCACCAGTCAAAATAATTTCACCTGACACCTTGTGTAAACGAATACATTTTTTGAAAAAATGGAACAAAATAGCCTTGAGATGACCCTGAAATTCAAACAGTTCCAATATCCAATATCGTTTTTACGAGCTAGTATAAACCAATTTGATTTCTTTGTGCTCGCCTCTTGATTGTGAGGTAGAGGTTCCTGATCTTCGGTAAACGTCTGCGTAGCTCGTCCCGCCACTCGACTACCGTAGCTTTGGTTGACTCCAAAAGGAGTAGTGCAGGGATTAATTATATGTGGTTTGTAGTATGAGGTGTGTTAAGACTGTTACTACTGTGAATGGAGTTGATCCTTTCACCAGTTGATCCTTCGGTATCGTCGTCAATAGAAAAGCGATAATAATAATATTAATAGATATAATTAGTGAAGGTATTCAGACTAACAGACAGAAAAAGAATAAGAAAACGTGGCAACAGTCAGTCAACCGGTATATATATATACCAGTAATAATGATAATAATGATAAGTGTAGTTAAAGCTGTCAGGAGAGTAAGACTGAAGAGAATGTAAAGAAGTAAAACGACCAGTTTAATTGTCTACCTTTGAATGGTGTATGCGATTTTAAGGGGATAGGCCATTTGGATGAAGTCCTTGTGTCGCTGCATGGTTGTGTACAGAAATATGGTTAGTAAGCTGAGAAATCTAAATTTTTATCTTTCTTAGGGATCTGGGTTTTTCTGCAGTGAACGATATCACTTTCCTTTCAATGAGTTTCAGTTTTGCTAAATTTGTGGAGAAACAATACCGCACTTAAAAACGCGTCGGCTTTATTTTATGGACTATTATAAAGGACCTGAGCGGCAATTCACATAACAGATGCACGTTACAATGTTTTTTGTCTACTTTAGCTGTATATCTGGTCAAATATACCATGTGGTTCCATGGAGTTTCCCTTGTGGGTGTGTTGACATGAGTTCAGAACGCGAGTAAAGGTAGGCGTGGTACAATGAAAAAGCGTGTTGCAGAACTATTTCTGACTATCTGAGACTTAAGAATGAATAAGTCACTAGATTTTATAGTGTAAATATATTTTAATCAACATCGGCTCTTCAGATTCTGATAGAATACTTGTAACTTTTGTTCACAGTCATTATCGTTAAGGATACACTGTCAATCCTCCGTAAACGAAAAGTCATTTGATGACTAACTCATACAATCCTCGTCTGTAGATGCAATTACAAATGATGATATTTTTCAAGCTGTTTGATCAACTGTGCAGTTTATCATTCTAACGAACCCAGTTTGCGGGAGTTTCCTTAAATTTCATAGGGGATGGAGTACTGTTTGCGGTGATGACCCATATTTCTGTATGAAAATGCCAGATGGGCTTTCGTGATCGTAACGGGTTTCTGCTTCTCCAATCTCTTTTAGCTGTTATAACTTATTTCATGTCAGCAGAGTAATGAGCGCATGTTGAACTGTGACATAGTTGTCACAGAGAGATTGAGAGATATGATTCGATCTCTTTGGTCCAGTAAACGAAATTGATCTGGGCTGTTGAAGAATGTTGTCTCTGTCCACCGTATTCAATTGTGAAGCATGTTTGGACATATGAACGGCATTACGTAGACAAGGCCTTATGATATGAATGAAAATGTACTAAAAATGCGAAATGCGGCAGAACTGTGGATAAAATTTTAGATATAAGAAGACTTAAAGGTAACGCAGTAAGGAACAATGGCTCAATGACCAAGCTGGTCCTTCTTGATTTGAGATCCGTAGAGGAAAGGAACTGATCGGTGAATAAAAACAGGTTTTGAAGCCTGATTTACAGTAGCCACCATATCTGTCATCCGTCAAAGGAGAAGAAGCAAACTAAAGCTGTAGTACGTATTGGTCGTGCACTTACTTCATTTGGAAATGTACGAGCTTCAAAAATTCTCAGCCATGGAATCATGGGACTGTTTCTGTTACCTGAAGGCCAGTAGACGACACCCAAAATATTATGGAATGAAGTCAACTGGAAGATATCGGGAAACAGATTGGCAGTTTGGAGAATGTTTATTATTCCAATGACAGGGCAGTAACAGCATCAATAGTTGCAGTACAGAAACTCACAGCTTGAAAACGTTGCGGGTTCTAACGGTTAGAGGTTCAAATATTGCAGTGTCAAAGTTTATGAATGAATATCAGTATGATTCATAATGATCATTTTGATTTGGTTGCTCCAGCTTTCTATTGAAAAGAAGGCAACTAGCCCTCCAAAGGAAATGAAAGCAGTTTGAATATTTCGGGTGATTAGACATTCGTTCAATACTAACATCACTGACATCTGTTGACACCTCCGATTAAAGCGTTGATAGCTCGCACTGATAAATTAGAGATATTCTCAAAATGTCATTTAGCTAGTGCAAGAGTATACTCAGAGTCGACAGGCGAAACGCATTAGTTTCATCAAGAATATACGGAGTAGAGAAAGTCCCGAAATGTGATACCTGCAAACGATGATCACCTCTCCTTTAATGCTGGGTGGCAGTCGTATGCCGAGCTGTGATACGTGAGTCTAAAGCATATTGCTGACTTAAATTCATTTAGAAAAATCGGATTATTTATTTTTCGCGGACTGTAACCATAGGTGTGAGGTCGGTCCTTGCAGTTCTATGTTTTGTGGAGTCTCTAAATATACTGTCATCTCCATCCGCACAGGCCGTTAGTGTGTTTGAAGAAACAAGCTTTCACTGGTGTTGGAGCCTAGAGTGTACTGTCAAATATTGATATTTTACTTTATATACTACTCTTCATTTTCACATAAACTTGACATTTTTGTTGTTGATATTGGTCTGTTGTATACTATCTGTTTGAATTCACACCTATGTAGATAACAGGCGATTTTGTGCGGCCATTGGTTCCTTGGTGTTTAGACTCCGGTTAACCACGAAATTGAAAACAGAATGATTTATGAGTGCCGAAATAAATGTACTCATTTTGTACACAACTGTGTCATACAAACATATGCTGAATTCGCGCATACTTCTAGGACTTAAAACGGCACGTAAGATTACTAGGCTGCTTGAACGACTTTCACGGTCGTTCCCAATCAGCTCCAGATAGAAGTGACATCCATGACTGCTAAGTGGCCATCCATCCTGCTAAACCTGAGCTTTGGCAACACTTCCTGATGTCTCTTTTGCCTAACCTGGTGGCCAGGTTGTTCTTAACACTGTTCCAACTTGAGGAGGGAGAATGCGATCCTTATGGCTGTTTAAGGGTGTATTTGTTACTGCTCGTGTGAACAGAGTACTGAAGTATGCAGTCAAAACACGATATAGACGCGCTATCATCTCTGCCGGAAATCCAGTCGCCCACAGTCTTATCTAGTCTGCACAGAGAAACAAATTTACCGCCGAAAGCGAAATAGTTTGGATTCAGTGGGGTGGACGATCTTTTCTGATCACCAAAAATACCACTTTACTGTTGTCCCTGGTTCAGAGCTACTAGAAGGTAGACATTCGCGATTTCTCTAAATAGTACTACTATCGCAATTTTTAACAGCTTTGTTAGGCCCGAGAATTAACGCTGAACCCCACCTAGACCAAAATCATTAGCTGTGACGTATGCTACTGTAGTAGTGTTTGTGTTTGCTTGACTGCGGTCTGATTTCATAATCGTATCCGACAGTAACCATTGTGTTCTAATGGCCATTAAATGATGAGGGGGTCTTTATGGCTTACCTTGAGGGACCCGTCCATAAAATTGATTCCACGAGGTGTGACATCTGATAAATTGTTTTTATAGGACAAACGTACCCAATGAGGCATTCAAGTAAGGCCATGACCTATCAAAACTGCCCTCATCACAAAAACCCTAAGTTGGTCTTTTTAACTATAAGCGTAGCACAAGATAGTTTTGGAGTAATTTCAAAGGAAAACTGGTCCTATACCAACTTCTAAGCCGTTGTACTATTAGACTCCAATAGCCGTCACTATACCTGGTATGGAACGCTTTCTGGCAATTCCTAATGCTTCGACGATTTTTTCAACAACAAGAGATGTGTCAGGAGTACTGTTTGGAATAGTGCACGATTCCATATATCCTTCTAGGCGAAATAACTTCCCTGAATTAATGCAGTAATGAACTCGTCTTAATCTGACAATGTGTGGAAGAATTGTTGAAGGGCTCGTCCAGTTGGTATTTTTGTTCTTATGCAGTAGTGCATGGTGCCACACCATCTGTTTATCTGTAACACATACGTTTCGCATCACAGCCTAGAGTATGCATTTTTTTGACAGCTCGAGAATTAAAAATTAGTCTGGACCCTCAACAGAAAAATAACAATAAGGATTGTACATATCTAAATGATAAATAAAAAAGTGCCTTTGCTCCCACCGCCTACAAACCTGTTCAGCTTCTTGTCAAGATGCTACAGAAATTCGTGAGGCATCTTACAGGTCAGCTTGTTCTATGGCTTCTAATTTTCCAGATCTTCGAATTCACTCCTCACTTAAATATCACTTACCTACCTCACAATAATCTTTTTATTTACGCACTATGATACTCTATCTGATCTCAACTACCTAGGCCTTTATTGAAGCTGAAACTTGCTCTTTGTTTATATTTGTTGCTTGCCTAAAGTCAGGTTGCTTTGATTAAAAGCACGACAACATCAGTGTTTGAACAAAGCTATATTTTTATCGGAAACGTGATAGTTTTCATGCTTAGACCAATATGGTAAGCATTAAACATTGCAAATGTAAACTATCATTTCAGGTACTATATAGCTCCTTCTCCTTGCATTTATCTTGTAAATATTCTTCCAATAATGTATTATTCATAATCGCATTTTATACCATTTTGCAGCTGCGCAGAATTTTCTTCTCTTCCTGAAATAGAGTTCAATCACGTGGCGGTATAGCACTCACCCAGATGTACGCTGTTCACTGGTTGACCATAAGTATCAGCAGGAAACGGAACGAAGTTGTTGTCGGGTTGTCGCTCAACTTCGATGGTGACCTTAATGAAGGGTTTACAAATTAACATATATAAGAACCTGTTTTGAT